ATTGCTGAGTTGTTTTATTATGTTAGTTCGAGTGCCTCTTACTTAAATAAGGGCACTTATGTCTTTTCCTATCACATTAATAATATAATAACAGGTCTGGCCGAATGTAGGGGTTTGAATTTTTCCTAATTTCGAACCAGACCTTTTCTCTCTTTCTTCCTCTTTCTTCCTTCTTGCTTGCTTGCTTTACTTGATTGCTAACAGACAAACAGACTTCTAGGGTAGGCTGAACTTCAACAGGCTTTACTTGTCTTTTTTCCTGTTCTCCCACCACAACTTGAATAGGGTGAGTTTTCTTCATTTTCTCCTCCGCTCCTCCTTTATGAACTTAATCTTCTCTTGTTGCTACGAAACTCTTAGCTTTATCATCCACAAATCAACTAATGTATACATACCTTGTAACACAACAGATGAAGCCCTCTTGGGAAAAACATTGCTTTACTTCTTGGAGACATTAATCTTTCTTTCTTCCTTCAATCCATTGATTGGGTCTCAAATCAAGTCTCCTTGATTGTCCCAAAGTCCTCCTAGTTCTGTGGTTGGGCCCTCTCTTTGCTAGACAACTTCTTTGAGATCGGACCCCAGCCGATTCCTCGATTGGACCACCACTTTACTCAGCCCATAAACTGAGCATTAGCCTCCTTTCTAAACTTTTCCAGTTCCATGACTGGGCCTTTGAGTTACTCGGCCTACTCCCTCTCCCCCCCCTGTTAAAGCCAACTCCACCTCTCTTAAAGTCTCTTCTATTATTCCTTAGAAAAATCCCCCTCTTTTCAAATTTCTCCTTGAAAAAGTCCCTCTTTCTGACCCTTAGCCCCACTCGTCCCCTCCCTCCCTTCCACATAAACAACCACCTGTTTGTCTTTTAAGTTCTTTGCCCCTTTATCTTCCCCATTCATTCTGTCCTTTTTGGGAAATTCCACTTTTTCCCTTACCCCTATGACTCTTAAAGTTTGTATTCTTCCTTTAGTTCCCTTGTATCATCTTTGCTCTCCATTTTCCTGATATTTCTCCATCATCTTGAATTAATTTTCTCCACTACAACACTCTTCGGATCAACATCTTCATTTGAGATTTTTTTCCTTGACCTGTATTTTCTCTACCATACAAAAAGATGGATTGACTCCTTCATTTAGGGTCCTTAGCTCGTATCTTTAGATATGACTACTACATATATTTTATAAACACAATTGGAAAACTATATGTGTGTATTCTAAAAGAAAGTGAAGGGAATGTCTTGATATCAGCTACTATATGAGTACAAATAAATACATATGAACATATTCTACAAACTATACTGACAAATTTTCATTTTAATAGAACCTTAATGAGATCAGATTAAATTAAGATCTCTTTCATTTGGTTAAATTCTCAAGTTTCAAGATTTGCTCTTTTCTGTCTGATATGCTTGAATTACATGCTTTAATTACTCTGGCTATTTTTCTACAATTTTCTTTTACTTTAGGATCAGTATAAGCACAATAAGTTTCTTTCTTTAACCCTAGACTTTACACCTGGTGGCTGGTGGTGGGACAAGCACAATCACTTAATTGGTTAAACTTGGAAATTTTCACTTATAGAATACAGCTTTCTAATACCTCAGGCTTGTTTTAGAAGAGAGTCCTTGGTTTAGTTGATTTTGATAAAATTTTTCCATTTTAACTTGGATGTTATTTCTTTCTACTTGACATAAGCCAATTTTTAAATTTCTAATATAAGGCTTTCTTTACAGACAATACAAGAAATGGTAATGATGTCAACCAGTGTCCTAAGCATCAAATGGACAATCAAAGGGAGGCCAAAATCATTACTTGCTAGTATAGGAGGAGACATTATAGTGAGAGTGAATTCTCGGTTCACTCTAAACCAGATAAGTGGCCAAGTAATTGAACATGAAGAGTTCTGGGATTTGTCTGCATCATCAGCCATTGCTCAGGCATTTTTCTGGATATCTCGCCGAATTTTTGCTACAATTGAGGCTGGAAAGGATGCAGCTGATACTGTTAAGAACATGACCAGCCGTTTTCCAATGGAAAAAGAAAATTTGGAGATATATCCAGATCCTTCTGGTGATCCAACTAAGGTAAATTCTAACATAATTCTAACTTTATATGTTATACATGGAATTTTGTTACTTCATTAAAAATGAATATTTCATTTTTTTCATGTAGAGAGACTGGGCCAAATGGGCCCTAGTACCTGTTTTATGTTTATGCCTAGTTACTATTTGTTTTTGTTAGAGTTAGCCGAATGAGGGGTAGATTAGTCTTTTCCAGCCACTTTAAGTTATGTGCTTATGTGGCAGTTCTAATAAGACTTTCTGTCCCATACTTAAGTGGGGGCAGTTTAGTCTTTGTACTTAATTAACCCCATTATGGTCGAATGGTAGGGTTTAGTCTACCAAGTTCGACTGTCTTCTTCTTCTTCTTCTTCTTCTTCTTCTTCTTCTTCTTCTTCTTCTCCTTCTTCGAACTGCTGTAGCTATTGAACAAACATGGTATCAGAGCAAGACGTTGCTCTCTAAATCTCCTCCCTTGCCCCTCTCTGGTCGTAACCTCATTTTTTCTCTTCTTTTTGGGCTGAAAATGGAGAACACAGATTTGACCTAGGTCTGAGAACACTTCAGTCCTTCCTCTGCTCAGAACTTGACTGTTTTTCAAGAAAAACAACTCCAGAAGTAAGTGGATGGTCGACTGAAGCTCTCCATCAGAGGTTGGTTACCTTTTTTTTGTGTTGTTGGTATTTCTGGGTTGAAAGCCTTCAAAATCTGCTCGGACTGATCAGAACCTAGAGAACTAGGTTGTTTGTAGCCTTGGTTCTTGGAAAAAAAGTCCAAGAACAGGCTGTGTTTACAGTGGCCGAATGGTGTAAGGGTATGTTTGACCCTTTTGTGTGGGTCTGTAGGTTGTTTTGAAGCCTTTGTTGGTCACAAGTGACCTGAATTGAATGACAATTTACTGCAGTGGTAGTAGTTGATGTTTTCTTTGGACTTGTAGTGTCCTCTGAAAAGGTCAGACAGATTTGTACCATGTGTGACAGCTATGGTTGTGTGGTGGCGCTTGTGATGCTCAACCTCTATTGAGCAGCTTCAAGAGGGCTTGTATGTGTTTAGTGAGTTGCTGAATTAATGTTAGTGTGATTTATGGTTTTGTGAAATCAGTAGTGGTGCGAACAAAAACAAAAGTTTGTTGTGTACCTCTCAACTGTGTTTGGGGACTGCTGTAGTGTCTGGAACATCTGTGTGTTTGGGGACTGATTAATTGTGACTGGTTGTGAATAGTGGTGATTGATTGTGACTGGTTGTGAGCCTATCATCTGTGTTTGGTGACTGTTGTAGTGTCTAGAACATCAAACTCCTAACAGCAGTATAGTTGGCGACTGGGTATTAAAATTAGAAGTAGCATTGGGAGGACATCATGGCAGCAATTGGAGATGGTTGTAGTGATCAGAAACCTAGTGTGGTTATTCCCTCTGACTATCTAGGTGTGCAGATGACTTCAATTAAACTTAATGGTGAGAACTATGTACTTAATGGTCAGAAACCAAGTCAGTGGAAGTTTTTCTCAAGGCAAAGCGGAAAGTGAAGCATGTGAAGGAAGATAAACCATCAGCTGACTCTTCAGGGTTTGATGACTGGGAACAAGAAGATGCCCAAATCATGACATGGTTATGGAATAGTATGGAACCYAAAATAAGTGCCAACTTTATGTTCTTAGATACAGTTAAGGACATATGGGAACATGCCAAGAAGCTTTATTCTGGGCATGATAACACTACGAGGGTATATCAACTCTATCAGGAGTATTTTGATCTGCAACAAGGGAGTAAAACCCTAGAAGAGTACTATGCCAGTATAAAAAACATTAGAAATGAACTAAATATCTATCATCCCCCAACTCCGGATGTTAAGGTTCGGCAACAACAAAGGGAGCAACTGGATGTCACTAGGTTCTTAGTGGGGCTGAAATTGGAGTACGAACCAGTTAGAGCCCAAATTTTGGGAAGCTCTACTCTACCTACCCTTGAGGAAATATTTGCAAGGCTCTGCAGGATCTCCTTGGGTTCTACATACTACACCATCTGACAGATCAAGATTTGTGGCAGCCAGAGGAGGTGGACGTGGTAATAGAGGGGGAGGACATGGATCACGAGGAGGTCGTGGTGGTTCCACTATTTGGCTGTGGTGGTGGTCGAGACTCAAGGGGAGGCCGTGGTAAAGGAAAAGGTACCTCTACTAGGAAGTGTACCCACTGTGGTAGGGAAGGACATTTAGTGAATTTTTGTTATGATCTCCATGGCCCACCTTCTACATGGGCAAATCATGCAGTTGCTGGTGGGGTTAATGTTAGTGATAAACAACAACCAAATCTCACATCTTCCACATCTACATCTGTTGTTGGGAAGGAGATGATGAGTGTACCGCGCGATGAGTGTGAGAGGTTCCTTTAGGCTACTTCACAACATACTACTGCCACCCTTGCTCACTTAGGTATTGCTTGTCTGGCATCCAAACCCTCTCCTTGGATTATTGACTCTGGAGCCTCTGATCACATGACCGGGACTCCAGGTGTGTTCTCTTCCCTCTCTGAAACTTCGACATGTCAAACTGTTTCCCTTGCCAATGGTTCCTCTTCTCCCATCTATGGTGTTGGTAATGTTGACACGACTTCCCTTTCTTTATCATCTGTTCTATATGTACCTAAATTTCCATTCAATCTTATGTCAGTTAGTAAATTAACTAAGACCCTTAATTGCTTTATTACATTTTCCCCTTCCTTTTGTGCTTTTTAGGATCTCAAGACGGAGAAGAAGATTGGTGGGGGGCATGAAGCTGATGGATTGTATTACCTTGACGGTGGTGGATCGTCAGTTGCACTTCAGACTTCACTCACTTCTCTACAATGGCATTGTCGGCTGAGACATCCATCTCTTAAGGCACTCAAGATACTGGTTTTGTCTTTGAGTCATTTGTCGTCTTTACAGTGTGAGTCATGTCAGTATGGGAAACACCATCGGGTTCCCTTCAGTCCTAGAGTTGATAGTTGTATGTTGAGTCCTTTTGTTTTAGTTCATTCAGATGTTTGGGGTCCAATTAAAATAGAGTCTTATAATGGTTACAAGTATTTTTGTCACTTTCATTGATGATTGTTCAAGGATGACATGGATTTATTTAATGAAAGAAAAGAGTGAATTATTTTCCATTTTTCAAAAATCCCATGCTGAAATATGTACACTATTTGGTGTTCCAATCAAAGTTCTTCGTTCAGATAACAGCCGTGAATACTTTCTTACTTCCTTTCAATAGTATTTAGAACAACATGGCATCATTCATCAAACTTCATGTGCATCCACTCCTAAACAAAATGGGGTGGCTGAACGAAAGAACCGTCATCTCCTTGAAACGACTTGGTCTATTCTTCATCATATGAATGTTCTTAAACGATTTTGGAGTGATGCTTTGCTTACTGCTTGTTTCCTTATTAATTGGACGCCCTCCTCCATCTTTCATGGTCGGTCTCCCTTTTCTATTTTGTTCCCCACCTTGTCTCCCTTTCAATTAACACCCCGGGTCTTTGTGTGCTTTGTTCACAATCTAAGTCCTGGGATAGACAAGCTGGATGCACGCTCTATTAAGTGTGTCTTTCTTGGCTACTCTCGGACCCAGAAAAGGTATAAGTGTTACAACCCCATTACTTAGAAGTTCTATGTCTGTCCTGATGTCACCTTTTTTGAGTCCGTCCCCTTCTTCTCGGGATCTGAAGTATCAGTATCTCGACCTTTGCTTCCTCTTCCTCTTCCAGTCCGTGATCCCATTCCGGATGTTCCAGTTGGGGTTGTCCCTTCACCTCCTCCAATGCAGATTCCTACTGAACGACCACCAATCTGGCATGTGTATACTCATCAACAGACACAGGCTCCTCCTCCAACTTCTACCTTGTCTACGGATCCTATTGTTGCTCTTGTCCTAGAACCTTCAAGACTTGATCTTCCCATTGCTTTACGGAAAGGTAAACGTAGTTGTACCCTCCATCCCATTTCCAATTTTGTTTCAGTATCTCGCCTTTCCGCTTCACATCACCAGTTTATTTCACTGTTGTCATCTATTTCTATACCTAAGAATGTCCAAGAGGCACTTACCTCACCTGGGTGGCATCAAGCAAGGGAAGAGGAACTCTTTGCCCTTCAGCATACTCAAACGTGGGAACTCACTACTCTTCTTCCCGATAAGCATGCTATGGGTTGTAAATGGGTGCATACTATTAAATATTTGCCAGATGGTAGTGTGGAGCATTTGAAGGCCAAATTTGTTGCTAAAGTTTATTCATAGTTGTATGGGGTGGACTATAAGGAGACCTTCTCTCCCATGGCTAAGATTGGCTCCGTCCATGTCTTAATTTCCCTGGCAGTTATGTATGATTGGCCCTTGTTTCAACTTTACATTAAAAATGCCTTCCTTCATGGTGACCTTATGGAAGAGGTATATATGGAGCAACCACCGGGGTTTGTTGCTAAGGGGGAGGATGGTAAGGTGTGCAGACTGAAAAAGGCAATTTATGGGTTGAAACAATCATCTCGTGCTTGGTTTGGGAAGTTTAGTGAAGTGGTGAAGAACTTTGGAATGAAACAATGTTAGGTTGACCACTCAGTGTTCAACTATGATTCAAAAGTCAGAAAGATTTTATTAGTGGTCTATGTGGATGATATTGTCATAATTGGTAGTGACAAATTGAGGATTGAAAAACTAAAGGTCTTTTTGCAAAACCATTTTCAAACAAAAGACCTTGGGAAGTTGAAGTATTTCTTGGGTATAGAAGTTACCAGATCAAAACAAGGTGTAAACCTGTGCCAAAGAAAATATGTTCTTGATCTGCTGGATGAAATAGGACTATTAGGTGCAAAACCGCTAAAACTCCCATGGAACCAAATGCTAAGAGGCAGTGATATAGGGGAAATATTTGATGATCCTGGAAGATATAGACGGTTAGTGGGGAAGCTGAACTATACGACTATCACAAGATCAGACATCTCCTTTGCAGTCAGTGTGGTGAGCCAATTTATGTAGAACCCTCGGATACCTCACTGGGATGTAGTTCTTAGAATTGTAAGGTACTTGAAGGGAACTCTGGGCCGTGGGTTATTGTACAAACCAGGAGGAGGATTTGAGGTAATTGGGTATACAGATGTAGATTGGGCAGGCTTAGTGTCAGATAGAAGATCTACTATAGGTTATTGCACATTCCTTGGAGGCAATCAAGTGACATGGAAGAGTAAGAAGCAGATTGTTGTGGCAAGTAGTGCTGAAGCCGAATACAGAGCCATGGCACACACTACATGTGAATTAGTATGGTTGAGAAACCTCCTACAAGAAATTGGATTCACAATGGACTGACCTATGAGATTGTACTGTGATAATCAATCTGTAATTCACATCTCATCTAATCCTGTTTTTCATGAGAGAACAAAGCACATAGAGATTGATTGCCACATTGTGAGGGAGAAAGTCCTTACTATGGAGATAAGCACAGAACATGTGGGCTCAGGTGACCAATGGACAGATTTGTTTACAAAAGGTTTAAACTCAGGGAGAGTGAACTATATATGTAACAAGCTGGGATTATATGACATATATTCTCCAGCTTGAGGGGGAGTGTTAGAGTTAGCCGAATGAGGGGTAGATTAGTCTTTTCCCGCCACTTTAAGTTATGTGCTTATGTGGTAGTTCTAATAAGACTTCCTATCCCATACTTAAGTGGGGGTAGTATAGTCTTTCTACTTAATTAAACCCCTAATCCACATTATGGTCGAATGGTAGGGTTTAGTCTATCAAGTTCGACTGTCTTCTTTTTCTTCTTCTGGTTTGAACTGTTGTAGCTACTGAACAAACAGTTTTGTATGTTAACGGGCCTTTCTTTATGGGCCTGTTAATCTCTTTTATAAGTTCTTTTAAGTTCTTGCTTAGCTGGCCGCCCATATAAGGGCAGACTTGTAATTAGCCTAGTTAATGAAGATTAATAAAAGATTAGTGAAGGGAGAGAGGAGATCATTGAACTCTTCTTTTGTTCTTTTATAAGTTCTTTTAAGTTCTTGCTTAGCTGGCCGTCCACTTAAGGGCAGACTTGTAATTAGCCTAGTTAATGAAGATTAATAAAAGATTAGTGAAGGGAGAGAGGAGATCATTGAACTCTATTCTTCTTCTTCTTCTTCTGTTCTGCTGTATTCCTCTTTTCTCTCATTCTTTTCTGTTTTAATCAAGTTCTTTATATCAGATTTGAAGGTCAGATTTGCATCTTGGTATCAAAGCAGGTTTTCCTCTTTTCGTTTTTCTTTTTTCCCATACACCTTTCGATTAGAAGAGTATATGGAGAGATAAGTTCCTGATAAATCAGAGTAGCATTTGCCTAGTTGGTAGGGGGTTTGAAGAGTTAGAATCTGGCCGAAATTTGCCAAGAAGTGAAGCTGTAATTTTTCTGCCCAAAACCCTAGCCGACTAGAGAGTTTTCTAGTTACAGGTCAAGGAGAAGGATTGGGTGTGGCACTCAAGGCTTGGGAGGTGTATTTTGATCCCTAAAAATGTGTGGTTGAGATTTGAAGGAGATTGGGAAGCTCTGGTAGGAGCGGCTACCTCTTTTCTCTTCCTTCCTGACAGCCAGGTGTAGTGAAACCCTAGTTTTCAAGTCCCCAAGTACTGTACTGACCTCAATTAGGTATACAAAGACTGAAAAACTAGTTCGTTTTTTTTTTTGTTTGATCCATGGAGCAATTTGGAAGTGAAATGAAACAGATGCCAATTTCCAGGGTTAGTCCGGTAGATTCCCTTTCGACTGGAGTGACCACAATTAAACTGGAAGGAACCGATTATCTAGTTTGGGCACGATCTATAAGGATTTATGTTTGCAGTAAAGGTAAACTAGGGTATCTCATAGGCAGTAAGGTGAAACCTGTAGAGACGGACCCTACATATGAGAAATGGATGCAGGAGAACTACGTAGTGATTGGGAGGTGTATTTTTCTATTAATACTAAAAGAGAAGAAAAGGCCATTACCTAATGTTGGTTCCTGCTATCTGGGGTCTTGGGAAGGGGTGGATTGGATATGGACCTAACCTTTGGCATTTTTGGACAAAGTGGCCACTTTCAGACCATGTTCTCATGCTTGTCAACCTGAAATTTTATCGTTACACCAAGCAGTGGCCTCTCCTGTAAGACAACCTTATTAAATAGGAGAAATAAAAGTGAAAGGAAAAATCGTAATGCCACTACAAAAATCATAAGTCAGGTAAACCTGTACCATTATGCAAGGCATTTTTAGAGCTGCCCTTTTGCTAAAGAAACAGAAAAAACATTTGCTAACCTTGGGATCCATGAGAAGATGACTTTCAACCTATAGGTAATTTAATGCTTATTGGGCCTTTAGATTTCTAAAATATGAAATAGCTTATATGTTCTAAAAGCAAACGAACTTGGCATTAGTGACACTGAATCAGCTGTTTTGATGAGAAAGAAAGTTTGGCATTCATCCCATGATGGTGGTCTGAATCATTTCCTTAATGATAGGTCGGTTGCTTAGATCTGCATTTGCTATGTAGCTTTATAAGATGATGTGATGCTTAGAGAGGAAATGTGGAATGAATTTCATGTTTATCGGTGTTCTTTTTCTTTTAGCATTGGGATTTGGAATGCATTTTAAGACTTAATAGAATTAATTCTGTGCAGAAACATGGGGGCTTTGGGTTTTTTAAGATGGTTAATGTTACAGTGAGTAAGTTTTGGTGGTTCCTAAGATGTTTATCAATGACTCTTATAAGAAATTCTTTCTAAGTCCAGAGAATAGTGTGTGCATGTGCAAATATGTTTGTATGTACGTGTATTTTATGGTTGTTCAAGTCTCCACATTGACTCAAGTGGATATTTAGATATGACTTTGTAATACTTGTCTCATATCTCAGTGTTGATATATTTATAAAGGGCATGGTCTTTAAATTTAAAGCAACTTCTATATTAGTCAATGAGAAGCGACCCTAAGGCTGTTTTTCAGTTACTAGAGAACTTCCAGGTTGCTTAAGTTAGTATTTTTGCAGGTGGTTACTTTGACATTCAAAATATTTAAAGCTTTGACAGTTCTTGAAGTACCGTAATTGCATCCTAGGGTTTGATCACTCACTATGTCATAAATTGGAAATGCAGTTAGGTAGGTGAATATGATGAAATGTTGAGATTCATTCTAAATCACTAATCGACTCATAATTTTTTAATTTTTTTAAACAAACATGCCTAACCCTAGTATTTTCAAAGAAATGGATTGTCTCCATGGACTCTGGAGGGAGGAAGAATTAGAACTTAGATTTTCTACAGAGAACAACAGAGGGAGGCTGTGTAATCAACCTGCAATACTTGTATTAGAAATTAAATCAGAAAACTATTTTTCAATAGGGGTAAAAAAAGTTTCAGAGATGAACCCATTGTAACTAGTCTTTGTGCTTAGTTCTTGAATAAGTTCTTGACATATATATATACTGTGCGTGTATTTCTTGAATAGTTCTTGTCATTGCGCATATGCTGATATAGACTTCCAGCCAATGACAAACAAGAAAATGATGTCCACGAGAGGGATAAGCAACTGTAGTCATTAATTGAAAAAAAATGATAATAAAACTTGTTGCTGTGGGATGAAAAAAAGATCAATTTCATGTAGAAGGTATGACAGAAATGTTGTGTTCAGTGCAGAGGAGGTTCCTTTGATGTGACTTGTTATTTGAGAAATTGAACTCAAGAATAGATATTGTACATGATAGACAAGAGTAAGATGAAAAATTGAAGGTGGCATCATAAATTTACAACACCTTAGTTAAAGTTGTACGTGTTTTTACATCTGTTGTTATCATATACTTCATTAAGAAAGCAGATGACCAAATTAATGTTTCTTTGCTTATTTAATATTATTGAAACAAGTATCTAAAAGCTAGTTGTCAATTAAAAAAGTTAGAGGACAAAACAAAGGACTATAATATTCATAAAAACAGCTGCATAGATGAATATTATAGAATTAGATGACTATCATCTAAGAACTCTGTGCCTCCATATACAAGCATTCTTATTAAAGTTGAGATGAAAATTGACGAGTATGAACATGCCATGCACTTATATCATACCTATTGTAGATTATAACTTGCCTCCAAACCTGCAATTGACTTGTTATCTTGTCTGCTTTGATTCCAGTTCTTTCAAAGGGATGATGGCTTCCAACGGGATGTGTATCAGATTGCACTTTTCCTGGCAGTCCTCTATTTTGTTGTACAGTTTTTGAGGACAACCTTATGAAACTTCAAACCTGTCCTACCCATGCCCCTTCTTGTAATTGTAATAATAGTTATGTTGTGTATAATATTGTCTATAAATATGGTGTTATTGTTGTAGTCAAAGTACCATCTCATGTCTGTGGTTATTACTAATTGTCTTCCCTACTTTAAGTTCACACTATACATGTAATAATGGTAATTATTTTTCCACCATATATGAAAATGGTTCTTGTCTTTTATCCTCTTTTTCATTGAAGTATGGTTGTCAACTAGCAAAATGCTGGGGGTGGTCTCAGCAGTACAGGAGAGGAGCACCTTGTTGCCTAGATGACTAGGACCTCACCTAGACAATGGTGATATATTTTTGGGAAAATTACTAATAGGAGCTGTTGTAAATTTCACTTACAACAAAGGACTGTGAAACAAAATCCTTAAAAAAATTTCCTCCAATTGAAACTTGTACTGCTATGTTCTCTTTGTATTCAACTTCTGCCCAATTACTCCTAAATGGCTTTTTAGATATATAGTGGCATTCCTTTGATTGTTGTTATTGTTTAGGAGAATTTCAAAAAATATTAAGTAGTTATTTTATTTTATTTTTCCTTAATATGTCTACTTTTTTATGAAGTTAAAATATAATTTATTTTTTATTTTTCTGTTTATTTTATTTAATTAATCATTTACTTATTTTGTTTTTTGTCAACATATTTTCTATAAGACTAAGTTTCATAATAATAGGAGAAGGAATATAAATAAGCAATCTTTTTTAGTTTTGTTCTTAATTAATAAAAATTAAATGCAAAAATGGGACCAATACAGCCCCTTCCCTTCAGACACGTGGCATTGTAAAATTTCAATAGATAAAATCTTAGAAGAGGTTAAACTCTCACTCTTAAAAAAAGCCTATCCACTCACAAAAAAGTGATAACTTCGCTATTTTAAAATTCACACAAGTAGCATCGTAATCCCTAAAAAGTGGTAACTTCAAATGTTATGGTAGTAACAAAATTTATTCAAACACAACCATTTCAAAAGTAACAATTAAACAAATAATGTAACTTAAAAATATTCAAAATATTAAATGGATAAAAATAAAAATAAATGAAATCCATAAAAAATTACTAAACAATTAATACAAATGGTGTAAGTTTCATTTTTTTAAATGAAATAGTTTGTTAATTACAAACTGGATTTAACTTTTTTTGGAATCATAACCTAATTTAGCTTTTAAAAATAAATTTATCAAATAAATAGTAAATACCAATTAAAGTGGGTTACTGTTTACAAATAAGACCTCATTTAATCTCTTAAATCATATTAAAAACAACATAAGTTAATAGTGATTTTCAAATAAAGTAGGTTAGAATAGATTGTTAATCACAAAGATGTTGCCCCTTAGTATGGGGTCATTCTCTAGATAAAACATGGTAAGTCTCTTAAATCAAATGTTGAAAGATTAATAGTCCCGAAGTTAGTACGGAGGTCATCAGGCTAAAGTCTCCCCATTCATACACGTGGCATCCTAAAACTAAAGTAAATGGGCTCTTCCCATTTTCAAAGAGAAAACCCACTCCTCAAAATGAGTTAAATCGGTTAACTCCACTCAGAATTAGTTCTTCGACACTCTTACAAAAGGCTATCCACTCTCAAAACCATGAGAGTGATTAACCCTACTTTTATAGTTTCCCCTTTTTTACAGTTTGTTAAAATCTCAAAGAAAAAACCCAATAGTTTGTATCATTCCAATTTCAAGATAAAGAAAAAAACCCAATACTGATTATTAATAAGAATATAAGAAAATAATCATCACTATTATTAATTAAAAATAATATTAATCTTTAGTTAAATAATTAAGTAAATATTACATTTTGATTAATCTTTAAATTTTTACAGTAAAAATTTTAATTATAATAATTATTATGATAATAAAATCATTAATTAGATACTTAATAATAACAACAATAATTAATTAACTAAATATTACAATGCAAATAATCTTTAAAAAAATAAAGAAATAATAATAATAAATTAGACATTTTTTACTTAAACAAAATAAAAAAGATCAAAAAATACTAGCCCTGTACTTAGTTATGGAATCAGTGAATTCTGTTTTGCTTCTCGCCTTGTTAAAAGATTCTTGCATTGCTTTGCTTCCAAACTATCCAAATAATGGAAAAACCATTCCCATATACAAGCAATAAATGGACAGAAAATTAGTAGGTGATAGTAGGACTTACCATTGATTTTGTAAAGAACACCCTAGGAGAGTGATAAACAACTATTTGGTTTCTTTTTGGAGCATATCACAAGTGTTAATCTCTCATGAAATACCTCTTGACTAAAAGATGACAGTTTTAGTAGAATGAGTCTATCCCAAACCTTTTTTTTTTCAAGAAAAGGCTACAAAGGAACAAGAGACTCACATAAAACATTAAAAAAACAAGGCACAAGAGAAACATCCCAAAGGAGGAGTCCTAATATGGCTATCTGGCCTAAAGGGGTCCAAAAACACACCAACAAGGACTTGTAACAGACTAAGAACACTGGGAAGCTTATATTCTCTTATTTCCCTCCTAAAGCCCAAATTCCAATCAAACCTAGAGTTTGAAGGGGAGGATACAACAAGATTTAGAATCGATTCCTTTTTGAGGGAGGACAAAGTATAGAGGTTGGGAAATTGAATTTTAAGCGGAGATGGCCCCACCAACACATGCTCCCCAAAGAGGATATCTGAATAAGCAACCATACTTGATGTGAACATAACTTTGGTTGTCGGGGGCCAACAGTCTATGCTGTTGAGAGTGTGTTTTTGGGCTGGACAAGTTAACCCATTCACGCCCATGTCTAACTTTTTGGTCAAAAGAAAATAAGAGGCAATTACTATTTTACCCCACTCTCATAATAACGTGGCATTTCCAAAAATGCTCTCAACATCATAGGCTATTGGCCCCTAATAGCCAAAGTTTTTACCCTATTGTGGGGGAGAAAAAGAGAGAACATTGAATGGATCGCTTTCTAGGGAGAAGCTCTTGTGGATCTCATAGATAAATCAACATCCCATTTTTTATCTAATACTATGAATACTAACCACCACCTGGTCTATTATGATTTATAAGATACATATAATATGTAATTCAGAAATTTCAATCAATAGTCATTAAATATTGATATAATTATTTTATTTTTATTATTTATATATATATATATATAAATTACCAAAAATGAAGAAAAATATTGTTTTTGACATAAATTGTTGTTGGGTCAATGGGTTTGATATTTGATAAATTATTAATAGAAATCATTTAAGATATATAGAATAAATTGTTTTGCAATTTTTGTAACTTTTTATTTTTGGGAAAATGTATAAATCTAATAAATATAACAAAACTAAGCAAAAATCTACATATTTTTGCAGTTGTAACCCCAAAATACATAATATATCAATTGAACATGAATGATTTTCTACCAGAAAATTTTGAGCATGTATGTATGTACAAATACATACAAAATAATACAAAATACAAGGTTTTTCACTCTACAAATTTGTATTCGTATTCCTTCCAAACTGAGCCTTAGGATTGAAGAAACAATCTCAATAATTCTTAGGACAAACAACATAATGAAAAAGTTATGAAAATTTTGAAAAATTGGTCAAAATATCCAAAAAGCGAAAATATATACCACCAACCAATGCATGTATTGTATTGTTCTATATGGTATAAACATATATTTTGCAAACCAGGTGTCAAATCCATTTTTGAAATACCCCCACCAACATTTATTGGGAATTGATTAGGGAAGACATAATAAAGTATTCTCTTTAATATCAAAGCAGCATTAGATAGCCAGATCTTGTCACAACAATCACTTGTCTCCATTCCTTTCTTGCTGCACCAACACACTCAGGTATATCTCTTAATCCAACTTCACTAGTCCGTGATGTCAAATATAATACCACCAATCATAAAGTACGTGAGCCATTTGAAAAGGGTCATATTTGCATGTCAATAGATATATCTGGTACGCCGGTAGGGATATATTGGGCGATATCGATAGTGTTTTTTTTTTTTTACTTTTTTTTTTCAAAACCGGTTTAGGGGGGCGGTTTAAGGCTCCTCCACCCCTTAAACCAGTGAGACCCGATACACCCTCTATAGGGATGTATCAGGGAGCTCCCGAAACGATACGTATCGGCCCATACAGGCCGATACGTGTTGATATTTTGAACCTTGATACAACCTTCAATCTAACCACTGGTTGAGAACATTTTAATCTACATACCAATCATGCTATGTAATTAGTTATTTTTATTAATTTTAATTGTTATTTTTAATTATTAATTATTAATTAGTAATTAAGTTTTTAAAATTATTTTAAGTTTTTTGCGTAAATTATTTTTATTAATTATTAATTATTTTTATTTTTATTAAGTACTAATTATGTAAATATTTTTTAGTCATTAATTATTTTTTTAATTTTAATTGTGTTATTTTTTAATTATTAATTATTTTAATTTTTAAGTATTAATTACTTTAATGTTTTTTATTAGTCATCAATTATTTTTAATAATTTAATTGTGTTATTTATTATTTTTATCTATATTATTCCAATATTATTTTGAATTTCATAAATTATTTGATATGAAATAGTGCAAATTGAATTCAAAATTATCAAATAATCTGTTCTAGAGGTAAAATAGTAAAGTTAGGGAACTTCAGATGCTGAATGGTTGATCCAACACAAACAACCTTATCTATTCAAAGCATCTAAAAAGTAGAAAAGCATTATAACTCCATTTAGATTTCAGATTTATCAAATGCCACCTTAGTCTCGATTTACAATTATAATTAGATTTCAATAGCATATACCATCTAATAAACATACCTTTAAAAGCCAATTTTGTAAACTTAGCACATCAGACTTCAAGAAGATGCAATAAATCTTGATTTTTGAACCATATAAAAAACATGGTTCAAAGTATCAATATGCCTATGTGTATCGGCAGAGGCGTATCGATACTTACAAACACACGGATATACATTTTTTAGTTTTTTTTTTCAAATTTTGGTTTATGGAGAAATAAAAATGAGTTTTTTTATTAAAAAGGGTGAGGTAGGTGTTTCGAGACCCAAAAGATACGATACGATACACCTGATATCGAGCATATCGTATCGATTTTTTGAACCTTGATAAGAAATAGTGGATCCATAGTTTTCCTGCATTTACGAACTAGAGCGAA